AAGTGTCCCCTTGGAGTTCGATCAATCACTATGACATGTACTGACCACCAGGGGGCAGCACAGAACAAAGGAAGGCACCAATCATATATTTATATGTATATATATATATATATATACATACACACACACACATATACATTCACACACACACATATATATTTTTTGGAGAATTATTCCCCAAAAATGAATACAGACTTTGAATAATGAATTCCAAAAGGTAAAATCTAAAAAGAAAGAAAAATCAACTTAGCTATCAGCTTTTAAGTGTATTTGGGGCGGGGGGGGGACACCCAGTATATGCACCATGAATTCCTGGTGCATAGGTTTCATGAGTCGATGCTCAACCACTGAGCCACACTGGCCGGGCTCAAGTTTCTTCTTCTTCTTTTTTTCTTTAAAGGAAGGGCCCTAGGAGCTTGGAAGTGAGGAAGGTAATGGTAATAGGCCTGGGAGGAGGAGGAGGGGGACAGAGGTAGGAGGGAGAGGGGGGAGAGAGAAGAGGAAGGGGAAAGGAGGGGAAAGGAAGGGAGGGGAGGGGAGGGAAGGGTGCTGGCGTGCCTGGGAGGGAGAACACACTCTCAAGTTTCTCCTTTATGAGCTCCTTAGGAAATTGAAATTGTTGGCAGTAGTCCTGCATTAATCCCATTATAAGAAATAAACTTAAGACAGTCCCAAAGTTAAAGAAAAAATAATAAAGAGAAAACCCCACAGTTGGAGTGCGGTATATTGCAGTCAGTAAGAGAAAGCTGAACGAATAGGCCTGTGGTAGACTGAACAGCATACGTCCTAATTCTGGAAACTGGGACTATGTTATATTACATGGAAAGGGTTGCAGCTGGACTTAAAGTCACTAATCAGCTGACCTTAAAATAGGGAGATCATCCAGAATTATCCGGGTGGGTCCAATGTAATCGCAAAAGTAGATGAGGGGTGTCAGAAGGAGAGAAAGATTTGAGGAGGAAAGCAGGGACAGCGTGATATGACATGAGAGGACTTGTCTCTGTTGGCTCTGAAGATGGAGGAATGGGCTGTAATTCCAGGAATGCAGGCAGCCTCTGGAGCTGGGAAAGGCAGGGGAAGGGTGCCCCCTAGAGCCTCTGAAAAGGAACGCAGGCTTACCGACACCTTGGGTTTAGCCCAAGCATGTCAAACCCGCGGGCCGCATGCGGCCCACAATGAATATTTTTGCGGCCCAGCCAATATAACGGCATGTAAAAACGTTTTAATAAAAATTTCCTAACTTAATTTTTACAAATCCTGTTATACATATTAATAACGAACTACAACGTTCGCTAATGACTGATGACTATAATCCTGTTGCATTCATTTCCCTTACTCGCCGGCACCCCATTTCCCTCCACTAATACCAGCAGTGAATATTTTAGCAGCCGATGGCCACATCATTAGTCTTGTACTGGCTTGTTTGGTGTGCACAACAGGAAATATTTCGGTTTCAGAGAACAAGAAAAATAGGTTTATTTGTGTGACGCTTATGAGTTTGTGCAGTTATTCAGTGTCTGGTAAGTTCATGTTCAAGAAAAAATATTAATTTTTATTAAAATGTTCCATTATTTTATGTTAACGATGACTCATTTATTTCAGCCCTTTGTATTCAGCACGTCTCTACTGAAATAAGCCCACGTTTCTATGAAAATGGGAGCTTTTTGTGTTTTTTTTTCGGCCCACATACACTTACACCTTGTTTATTCAGCCTTTGAGTTTGACATGCTTGGTTTAGCCCAGGGCATTTTGGACTCCTAACCTCCAGGACTGCACCATAACGAATCTGTGCTGTTTTAAGCCACTCAATCTGTGACAATTGTTACAGCAGCAACAGGAAACTGACACAAGGCCCAGTATTGGAAAAACGGGTGACAAACCGATATGACCTCCCTGACCTTGCACATCCTTCCCGTGTCTCTAATACCATCAGACTCGGCGCAACAACAGCTAAGCTGCTCCGTGGCCTGATGAGGGAAAGTGCAAAGCAGAGAGAAGAGTGTCTGGTACAGGGAAGGTGCTCAATACAAGTGGCCCCTCTCCCTTCCGCCTTCACTGAGTAAGCAATTAAAATGTCATATTGAATAGGATACTTAAAAAGTGTTTTATTAAATAAAATTTCAACTAAGTAAAAATGTTCATGCATAGTATTGAGTACTGTTTAATATTACATCACATGCATTTTTCCTTCTTATGACTATTTCTAAACATCACTCTTCATAGCTGCATAATACTTCATAACATGAATTGGGTGTGATTTACTTTAACCATGTCCATCATTCTGAATACTGGCTGTGGTCTGAACACAGCCTTTGGTTCCAGAACAAGGGTCTAATTTGGGGGGGCACGTCCACACTTGTGAATGCCACAAAGTTATAGATTTTTTTCTGAGGAAGAAAGCCATATGCAACAAGTCTGTATACAATTTCCCTTGGAAAATGGCAAATGCAATTAAAGGAAGGACCTCAGGCTAAGGATTCCTGTTCTATGCTCTAGTTCAGGGGTCCTCAAACTTTTTAAACAGGGGGCCAGTTCACTGTCCCTCAGACCGTTGGAGGGCCGGACTATAGTTTAAAAAACACTATGAACAAATTCCTATGCACACTGCACATATCTTATTTTGAAGTAAAAAAACAAAACGGGAACAAATACAATATTTGTATTTGCATGTGGCCCGTGGGCCGTAGTTTGAGGACCCCTGCTCTAGTTCATTTTAAAATACATGATGAGAGAGAAACACCGATCAGCTGCCTCCTGCACACCTCCTACTGGGGATGTGCCCACAACCAAGGTACATGCCCTTGACTGGAATTGAACCCGAGACCCTTCAGTCTGTAGGCCAACGCTCTATCCACTGAGCCAAACCGGTCAGGGCAAAAATACATATATTTTTATTGATTTCAGAGAGGAAAGGAGAGGGAAAGAGAGAGACAGAAATATCAATGATGAGAGAGAATCACTGATCGGCTGCCTCCTGCACGCCCCACACTGGGGATCGAGCCCACAACCTGGGCATGTACCCTCACCGGGAATCAAACAGTGACCTCCTGGTTCATAGGTTGACGCTCAACCAATCACCAAGCAACACCAGCCAGGTGCTCTGGTTCATTTTGAGAACTGGTAAGTATCCATCATAATGACCTTCATACATATGTTGCTTCTGACCTACAGGGCATCCAGACGTACCACATAGAGAAAACAGAATGTACTGAACACTAATGCTCTGGGGGCTATTCTAAGGGGCTTTACCTATATTATCTCATCCTCATCACAACCTTGTCTTTATAGAGCCCCAAATGCTAAGAGGCAGAGACAGGATTGAAACCCCAATACTCTAGGTCAGCCTGTTTTTGTAGGGCTAAAGGGTTTTACATTTTTATGTTGTTATTATTTTTATTTATTTATTTATTTTTAATATTTTTTATTGATTTCAGAGAGGAAGGGTGGGGGAGAGATAGAAACATCGATGATGAGAGAGAATCATTGATCGGCTGCCTCCTGCAGGTCCCACACTGGGGATCAAGCCTACAACCCGGGCCTGTGCCCTTGACCGGAATCGAAACTGGGACCCTTCAGTATGCAGGCCAATGCTCTATCCCAGCGGTTCTCAACCTGTGGGTCGCGACCCCTTTGGCGGTCAAACAACCCTTCCACAGGGGTCGCCTAAGACCATCCTGCATATCAGATATTTACATTACGATTCATAACAGTAGCAACATTACAGTGATGAAGGAGCAATGAAAATAATTTTATGGTTGGGTCACAACATGAGGAACTGTATTTAAAGGGCCAGAAGGTTGAGAACCACTACTCTATCCACTGAGCCAAACCGGCTAGGGTGGTTTTACATTTTTAAAGGGTTGTGAAAACAAAAAGAAATGATCAAGAAACAAAGGAGGAGGAGGAGGGGGCATAATTCTGCACACTTTAACCATGAGCTGCACATACGACTTCCTTCCAAAGAGTCTAAGTATGAAAAGGAGGGAAAAGGAGTAACTTTCCAGTGGAGAAAACGAACAAACACTACCCTCGCCAACACTAACAAGGGCAACCTCAACAACCATACATCGTGTTGACAGTTTGTACCCTCTGTGATCTTTCACCCTCAAACCCATGCACCTCATCTAAACGTGAGACAAACATCAGATTCCAGCGCAGGAACACCCCGCCAAATGCCTGATCAGCACCTCTTACGTCTTCAAGGTCATCAGAAACAGGGGGAGTCTGAGAAACTGTCAGAGCCAAGAGGAGCCTAAGGAGACATGACAACAAACTGTATCGTGGTCTCCTGGATGGGATCCTGAAACAGATGGAGAAGATTCTGTAAAAACTAAGGGAAAGGAATAAAGCATGGACTTGAGTTAACAATAACGTATCAAAATCGGCCCATTCAGTATAAGGAATGTGCCATGCTAACTTGGTCATAATGGGGAAACAGGGGCAGGGTACCTGGGAATTCTCTGTAAGAAAAATTCTTTGGGCCAGAACCGGTTTGGCTCAGTGGATGAGCGTCGGCCTGCGGACTGAGGGGTCCCGGGTTCGATTCCGGTCAAGGGCATGTGCCTGGGTTGTGGGCACGTCCCCAGTGGGAGGTGTGCAGGAGGCAGCTGATCGCTGTTTCTAGCTCTCTATCTCTCTCCCTTCCCCTCTGTAAAAAATCAATAAAATATATTTTTAAAAAAAATTCTTTGGAATTCTTCTGTGAATCTAAAACCATTCTAAACAAATAAATCCATTGAAAAAGAACAGCATGCCGAAACCGGTTTGGCTCAGTGGATAGAGCGTCGGCCTACGGACTGAAAGGTCCCAGGTTCAATTCCGTTCAAGGGCATGTACCTGGGTTTCGGGCACATCCCCGGTGGGAGATGTGCAGGAGGCAGCTGATCAATGTTTCTCTCCTATCGATGTTTCTAACTATCTATCTCTCTCCCTTCCTCTCATGTAAAAAATCAATAAAATATATTAAAAAGAAAAAAAGAAAAAGAAAA